AACTCTTTTTTGTTTTCTTTTTTTTAATTATATTTTAATGTTATTCCTTCTAGTAGCATGTTTGCTGTATTTAAAAACTTTTTTAAGAAATGCTTGGGATAATTGCATGCCCTAAAATGTTTAATTTTTTCAAACTCTTTGATTCTATAATTAGATCGGGTTTATTTTTCCAATATTTCAGTGCAAAAGCTAAATTGCTCTCATGCTTTCATAGACAAACATCAGTTTATATCTAGATTAAATGAAAATGTAATTAAAAGTGTATGTTACTTTATGTAGAGAATTGTCCTCTACTCCTACTTAATAATTCATATGAAGAAGACTATATTTAGATAACCTAAATTCCACAGAACTTCTGTGTCTGATGTTTTCTCTGGATAAAATGCTTCCAAAAAGTTCTAGCCAGGAAAGAAGAAACACCAATTTCAGAGGCTTTGATGTCTAAATACAGTCCTAAATTCTTTTATAATATTAAACATCCTTAAAATATATTTTACTGTGCAAAAAAAATGTCATTGCTTCCCACAGAAATCTATGTGTAATCATTAGACCAATTTATGAAGTCTAATCTTAGGAAGAAATTCTTCAGTACGAGGGTGGCAAGACTTTGGAATAAATTGCCCAGAGATGTTGTGGCTGCCCCCTCCCTGGAGATGTTCAAGGCCAGGTTGGACAGAGCCTTGAGTAGCCTGATCTAGTTGAGAGGTGTCCCCGCGCATGACAGATGATCTCTAAGGTCCCTTCCAGCCTAGGCCATTCTATGAGTCTATGATTCTATGATTAAGAAGAGTCACAATCTAACCGTGGTCCTTAGTTGATGCTTTTCTCATATACTTATGTGACTTTTTTTTACTCCTCATTCGGGATTTTGTAATAGCCCTGTCCTGTTGTAGAGCTGATAAGAAACCTATGCTGCCAAGAACATCTCCAAGGTGCTTAGTAATGAAAACCATCCTAGAATCACAGAATCATTAGAATTATTCAGGTTGGAAAAGACCCTTGGGATCATCGAATCCAACCATTAACCCTACTCTACAAAGCTCACCCCTGAACCATATCCCCCAACACCACATCTAAACGACCTCCTTGGGCAGCCTCGTTCTGTGAAAATTTTTTTCCTAATGTCCAGT